ATTTAAAGTCTCTGTATGTAAAAGTGGAATCCATAAAAATGAGAGTTGGTCCTCCTGTGTGTGGCAAAGTTCACGTAATAAAACAACGGACAGCCGCCACGCGACTCGTCCAAATCTTGATTGTTATCACACACGACAAGGAAACTTTTACTTTTTTACTATCATCTTTTACTATCCTTTATGAGACGAAGTTTAAAGTTGTAGTTTTAAGTAATGAACAAGAAGAAGGGAGGAAAAGGAATAATATGTACATAATAACCGACAAATGGTAGTAGAACAAGGAACAATTATGCATTCCTTAATAATACAAATGATGAGAGAAAGATGAGATGCTGCGTTTTTTCAGAATTTTAGCTTTTTTAAAGAATTTTATGAAACTGAATGATTTAATACATACCCAGGTGGATTCAATCTATGCAAGTTTAATCTATGCATATACCTAATTATTCAAATTGCCCAAAAAACTGACAAGTTTGCATGCAGTGTGCTTCAATAATTAGAAGGATGACATGTGCGAATACCGTGGTTCGTATGTTACGTAATTAGTAGGTGTGTACAGATATGCATAGACTGAGACACCCCTCCTCTCTCTCCCCCACTGGTCGTCGCGGTAAGTAATAAGTAACTGACATCATGGAATGAATTTTTAATTAATCAAGCTGCCTGAAGGGTGGCTTGGCTTGATGCGGGCTTTTGTGCCCGAATGATGATGATGATGTAACAGAGTTTGTAACAAGCTACATTCGTTTTTTTATTACTATTTACCGATATACACATTGATGACCATGCGTCGTCATAAGGTGGGCAACCTCACCAACGGAATTACCAACTGGAGAGAATTAAGGTGGAAATGGTTTAAAATTTAAATGGTAAAAGTAGAGTCAGTTGTTCATTGTATGCATTCCCCTCCTTCTGTTCACATATTATTATCCGGAGAGATTGTCATCTCTCACAAACTGCTCATCCGTGCATTGTTAAACTTGCAGCTTGCTTACTTATTGTGATGTAATAATAATCACTTATGTATTATTCGTCTATCCATCCGTTTCATAATTTTGGAGGAACATGTGCACTTCGGAGGATAACATATGTACGCGTGGGTGTGTGTGGACAGTTGGAATTGGCACGCTTTTGCAATAAAAAGTAATACGTAACGGTCACTTGTGCCAAAATACTGTCAACCGATGGTCTTCTTTATAGAGAGGTACAAATTATGAGACTATTTGTTACGAATAAATCCAAAGACGGAAACGATTGACGGGAATATTGATATTGGGTTTGATATACTTTTTTTATGCCCACCTGAACAAACGAATGTTTGGAGCTAGCCACTGAACCGATGTTACTTTTTTAGCCCGTTTTTTTACGATGCTGAACATCTTGTGGTCTTTAAATACAACATTAAACTCATGTTATTCACTTGGGCTGCTCATTACACAATTAAAGCGAGACCACATAAAATTACATTCAATTTAATTTGTTGGTCCAATATCTGCACGTGCATTGATCACATTATTTTTAAATGCACAGAAAATTGATAAATTACCGTGAAAAATTTCCTGAAACCTAAAATCAATTATGCTCAATGAATCGGATTCGATTTTTATTAATCATCTTAAAACTTTCATTGCCGCAGGAACTCAAGTTTTCTTTTAATGAACTTACATCATCGCATCTGTCTCTTTCTCAGAATAATTTGCTATCTCACAACAGGTTTTGTGTTCATTGGCTTTCCATTTTCATCAGTATTAAATGCAATGCTTCATCCAAGACTACTTATACATGGACTTTTAAACCGTAATAACTTCACATTTAAAACACACGAAAATGAGACGCGTGCAGCAAGTGATCTGGTTGTCCTTGGCCCAGTGACTTGACTGGACCGTAATTTGAGAAAGTAGTTAGTTGTTGATCTTGTTCATCATCATTCATCTCTTGTTTTTATTTGCTGACCCGTGAACTGTTTGCAATATGTTGCATGCTCTTTAAAAAGTGCATCTCACTTCACCTAACTCACCTCGCACACCAGCAGATTGATGATTGCATTCCGAGTGCACATCTGTCTCCTGTGAAATCAGAAGCTTACATTTAATTGGTGGAAGACATGATTTTTTGGACGAAACGAAACTACTATGCAATGATCGTCCTTTTTGGTCATTTATTTATCGAGGGGAAAGCAGGTAACCGGAATTTGATCTATATATTATTGACATGTTTTCCTGCCAAACGCCCCACTTCCCATCAATTTTCTCTATAAGGAGTGTATGTATACTACAAATATATATCAATCCTCCACCCAACGTGATTACTATTTGGCCATGACGGGAACCGATTGAGCAGCATCACCCACTCAATTTCCAATCCAGACGGACGGACGCATCATTCCCTTAACACCCCGAATTTCGTTTCCAGGTTTCTGGTCGGTTCTCCATTGCCATCACCACCAGCAAAACAACAAAATAATGCTTTTCTCATCTAGCTGGACTGGAAAACAAAGCAAAAACTGACAGGCATATGCCATCCCATGCGATGCGATATAAAGGCGGAGGTTGAGAGGGAATCCGATCCATCACATTCATCATCATCCACTTTGTTTTGTCTTCTCTCCGGTGTTGTTGTGTTATGGGTGAGTCGGCTTGATCTGCAAATTGTGTTTGTTCACCATCATCTCACTCACTTGCAGCTGCTTCCTACTTCCGATATTCTGTAATTACCTCTCCTCCCGGCCTACCTCCGCTGCCACCTTCGTCGCTATGTACTTTGTTATGAAATATAAGGTTAGACTAGAAAGTTCCCTCTAATGACTTCCATCGTCACGGCGTTACCAGACCACTAAAAGTATGTACGAGTCCAGTTGTCTGTCGTCTCTATCATGAAAGCAAGATGTGCTTAATCAGATAGATGCACGTGAAAGGAAACGGTGTTGTCGAGGAGGGAGGGAAGAGAAAGGGGTGAAGAAGAATAAAAGGAAAAGTTGACCATTATGTAACACGGTTATCGTGATCATTTTGCTGGAGAAGCAGATTGTCCACCTTCTTATGCTGCATTATTTTGGAAAAAATAGCGTAATACTACAAAAGTGCTATTTAAATTTTACTCAATCCTTTAAAAACTGCACCTAAAACTTAGATAAGCACATATATCGCCTGCATATATACATATCCCAGCTTCTCTCAACCTGCCCAGATGTCCGTCCGTCCGATGGTGCTCAAGATAACAATTTTTCATCCCTACATACTTACACTGGACAAGTTTTTCACAAAAAAATGCAGACATGTAAAAATAAACGATAAAATATTGCTCCTTAGAAATGCAGAAGCAAGAAGAATGGAGGGAACTCTGCTCCTGATAAAGAAAGGGATGAATTAAAAGGAAAAGGAGCACGTGCCTTTCGCCAGCCAGCAACTCTTCAACTTTGCATGCCCAGGTCCACGTCCAGGTCGGCCCTTTTCCTTCCTCGCATCACTTTTTATATGCAGCAGAGCAAGCAATACAACAACGTCACCTTTCTTGATCCTGCCAAGTTTTCTCAATTCAGAATGGCAGCCCGAGAGGAAGAAGGGAAGTGAAAAAAAGCATGAGATGTGACAACGAGAGAGCTGAGACCAGCAGAGAAAAGGGGATAAGAACTCTCAAAGGAAAGGTTGGAGAAAAGAGCGTGAAGAAGAATATCACAGGCCAAGATTTTTTTTGTACTTTTCAATTCGGGTGAGTTATCATGATCAACGGTTAACATAAAATTCACTTCGCATTTTCATAACCGTGATGATTTTTTGCCCGTGATAAATTCGTTTGCGAAATGGAAATGATATTTTTGCGAAGGGTTGCGATACAGTCAGTATAGAAATTAGGGTGCAATATTATAAGCATGAAAATATTGCACGCTGAATAAATTTACTGCACAAGAAAAATATCGTCATAAATCCCTCTCATCATTTTCATCTTCTTTTCTTCTTATTCGTATTCCCCTTGCCTTACCTTACCTCCCATTCATTATGTTAGAATAACTCCTACCTTGGCACCCCAAGTTGTCGGATACTGCACCAAATCCACTTCTTGCTCTTGCTTTTCAACATTTCAATTCACTATTTGCACCTTTGTTCGACCCAGTTGAATGGCTCAACTCGCATAAATTAAATGGCAACAGTTTTCCCTTCTCTGAGCATCCAATCCGAATACATTAAAGGGCTCGAATACCGGCAAAAAGTGAGAGGCTACACACATATTTATACATCCGAATACAGTGTTTTGTTCTTGATCTTGTAAAGTTTTTCAGAAAGAGAGCGAGGTTGAGGCAGGCAGCAGAACTGGAGGGCTGTCTGAAATTTAGAAAGAATGATAATAAATTCTGGAATCAAAACTTGCCTTGCACCATAAATAAAATAAAAGACATCTGCAATCTGAGACAAGTCTGGGTCTGTTCGAGAGTAGTAGAAAAGGAAGGAAGGAAGGTGAGAGATCGAGTCAAGAATTGGGAAAAGGGAACAAAATGAGATAAAGTTACATAATGTACAACTTCTCTTCCAAGCGTGGCGTGTTGAATCCAGGTCCAATTTGTTTGTGGAAATTTGTGTACTGCAGAAACTGTTGAACGCCCAAAATTAGGTTTGTTTTGCAATGTTTATCATGATGATGAAGATGGAAGGAGGGCATATGTAGCATGGCGAATTGGAGTTATAACTCTGATTGTTGGTTGCATGATGAAATTCTCACGAAAGCGGTGATGTCCATACACAAATCTTGGAATAAAATTTACAAGAATTGCGTTTGGACAATCAAGGCTTCCATTTGTGATCCCAGCCAGTTAATAAAGAGAGGGAATGGCAAGATATGTATGTAAATAAGTAATTGCTCATCCTATGCATTCACGGCATCTGAAATTCAATTTCATGCAGCAAGAGGGTTACAATTATGGGATGAGGAATGTCCCAAAAAATAACATTTACATACAAGCAAATTGCAATATGACTGCAAATAAATAAATAATTGAAATCAACTAATTTAACTCAAAATAAACCAATCAATACAAATTTTATTCATAATTGCATGCAGGGTTGGTGGTGGTGGACTGTCATCATGCACAAATTTTATTTCATCTTTGCTTTAATACTATAAATAATACGCAAATATTATAAACAATAAAGGTAACATAATTTTTAAAGCATTTAAATATAATTGGGAAAGTTTAGCTTTTTCACAGATTAGTTACTTAATTGCACCTTGTACACAATTGCATTTAAATGATCATGACTGTAATAATTCAACCTTGTTACTTGTTCTGTAACGGATTATTGCATCGTCCCGCAAACAAAACGAAATTAGTTTGACGATCCACAATCTGGAAAATAAATGGGCGATCTGCATTGAATTCTGTCGGCATATCGCACATCGGCGGAGCACATCTCGCCATCCTGATTGCTGTGCAGATTAAAGAAAAAGAGAAAAACATTAAAACACTAACGATAATGGGGAAAGTTTGATATTTTTTAATACATAGTTAAGTAAATTTTATTTTGCTTACCCGTCGCTGCCGCAGCTTCACTGCCCTCCTCGTTCACCTCGATGAACGCTTTCTGGATAACCTCAGTGACCACGAGTTGTTCCTTATCTTGAGGAATCCCACTAAAATCTGCCCGTCCAGTAAACATGGCTGATAAGCCCATCTGAAATACAAATGTAACCCAACTTTTTGAGCACGTGGCAATAAAATTGATTTAAATAGCATCGTTAAGCTCATTTACAGCGGAAATTCAATCATGACTCTCAAACAAACTCAACACTTTCACAGATTTACAGAGTGTCAAGCCTTGCGTACAATCTAAATGAAGAAAATTCCGGGGTTATGTTAGCACCAAAGTTTCTCAAACTTTATTCAAACTTTTTCCTAAACTGAGATCTTTATGCTGCCACCACACCTCGCCTCTCTACCCTTAAAAGGCTATACGTATAAACAGCTATGTATGTATGTACCAACAACTTCTTTGAAAGTCTAAATTTGTATGAACAAATTCTGCCTGGTAAGTAATTTCACCAGACAGAATTCAAATCTCGTGTAATTAAAACTGAGCGTGAGTGGAAAGAAATAAGCTGCTTATCGTCGTCAGAAAGAGAGGAGCTTATCATCAGAATAAAATGGTTGTTATTTAGTATGAGGCAAAATATCGTGTAAGAATTACCCAAAATCTCACTTTGCTATATATATTTAGCCACCGATGCGGAGTCCTTTTTTCAAAAATCTATATGTAAGAGCTAAATACATCGTTTTCTATCCCTCCTTAATTAATTCCCTTACAAAACTTTCCCTCTTCTTCGATGTAGCACATTATTAGTTGAAGGAGAAGGAAGAAAATTATCTATCTTTTCTAAAATAAATCCCTCCCTCCGCTGAACAGCTTACCTTTCTCAACGTGGGAACGAGAGGCATCGTTGACTCAATCTTGAACCTTGGAAGTCGTACAATCACTTTCTCCGTTGCGTATAAATTGTCGAAAATTGCTTGTGGAGTGTACTTCTTCAACCCCTCTTCCACCCGGGAGAGACCCGTCTTTTCTTTCGGGGCGATAATAATCATGCTCAACCTTTCGCCCTGTGCAGAAAGTAAAATCAAAATTCAAGAACAAAACGCAATTAGTCCAAATGTCACCAGGCAGAGAGCCCTTTTGGTTGAAATATACAGATTCATCAGCAGCAGCAGACTTTCTCCTCAGTCATAACACACACATAAAGGCTGACAAGAAGTCTGCACTGATTTACAACCCCGTGGGGATTCAGCTCTAGCATAACGTCGTCTACTTCCAGTAGTCAAGAATAAGTCGTCTTCTTGTACTGTTGGTTGCAAGATGGAAAAGTTTGCAAAGTTTGAGCTGATAGATGTCAAGGCAAGAATCAAGAAGCGACATGTTGGACGTGATATACATTTGAGATGTGATTTTTGCTTCGTATCAAGGATAAACGGAGTATTTTACTATGCTTCCCCCCTTATCGAGGGGAAGAAATCATTGTCACGATTTTTTTATCTGCCTTGTACATAAAAAATGAAAACCAAAATATTATTTTTGAAATTATTACTTTGTACGGCAAAGCAACAGCGTGGGCGCCCACGTCGGGAAAATTTCCGTACAAAAACTTGGAAGTTTGGCTCATCATGTCCACATCCACGGCGTCCTTTTCGCCCAGGAAGAATGGAGCTTTCTTCGTATCAGTGGTTTTGAACTGGCGCGACCACAGCCCTTTGAAGTAGATTCCGTTCACCAGGATCAGACTGGCTCCGATGAGGGCGTCTGATAAGTACATGGATAAAATTATACAGAAAAAAATTATTACATAATTTGAGAATCCATCACTTTGAAAAGTTAGTTTCAGTTTCTTGCCGAAATTATGTTTTGACTGTTATGCCCTCGCTCGTAATAAAGTCAAAAGGCCACTCAACTCATCGGATTGACACACATTCATGAAAAGTTTGGGATCAAATGGGATTATTGTCAGAGTAGAAACGGACAAAAGATGACTGAATATGGTATTAATCTTGGGCAAACTTCTAATCAATCATTGCACAGGAATGCATTGTGATTTGACGACCAGCACCAGCAGCAGAAGGATTCCTACATATAAGTACCAGCAGAATTTTGTTGCTTCCCTTCTTTAGGTGCTGGTCTGGTGGGTGGCGTGCTTAATGATATCTGTCTCTCCCAGCCAGCCAACTTTTGCGATCATCGTCGTCTTCTTCCCTAATTTCCTCCCTCAATTCTCATTAATCTAAATCTATTACAAGAGAGACGAGCAAACGTCTCCTTCTGGCGAGATCCTAAGCTACCTTTTATTATACGTATCCAATTTCAGTAATGAAATCCACCAATCCATGTATTTGCATTGCAATTCCAAACTCCCCAAAGTCTGCTGTACTACATCCATCCATACGTTTGGCGAAGTGCACATTTCATTCAACTTTCTCTCTCGCTCTAGCATTAATCTATGAGAGAAAGAGTGATTGACATTTGGAATTATAGACAGAATCGAAATCCATCGGAAGTTGGAATCTCTCTTGGAACGTGGATAGTCCAGAGTCCGCTGGAGAGACCACAAAGCCACATTTCCATTCCCACTCCATAAATAACCTGTAAAGCTGTCATGTCACAGAGTCCATCACAAATCACTGAAAGAGTTTCTCTATCCCTCTCTCGAACCAGTACAAGACTCGACCAATCGTAAATCTCCCATGTTCGAGAAGCATGCCTCCTTCAAATGTAATTTATCACGGGGTTTGAAAATCATTTGAAAAAATAACGTCACATTTATAACTCGTGAGAGTCGGATCCAATTCAGTGCAATTCTCATCCTGAGAAAATTGTCGATTCAATTCATTCACCAGAAGCAGAACCACCGCAGAAGTAGGTGTGCAGCAAAAAGGAGTATAATAATACGGACTGATTGGCATAATTTATCTACTGGAGAAAACTAGTCGTGTGAGGACCACCTCTTTCTCCTCCGCTATAATCTGATCCTGCACCTACACGTAAATAGTGGGACCACTTTGTAAATAAATTCAGCCTACAGACCGTCCTGCACAAGACTGGGGAAGGAATTTACTGCCAAACTTTCTCCATATTCTAAAACTAACGTATCCCATCGCACACACGTCCTTACGTATACACGATTTACATTGGGTCGAGGTTTCACCACCACCATTGTTCTTGCCACGATCTTTGTTGATTATATGCCTTCTTCCATGTACGTAGGCATAACTATTTATGGGAACGATTGGCACTATTGGAAATGATGTATGAGATGAGAGAGAGAGGAGGAAAGTCGCAAAATTGGTGGGAGTAAAGATCGATCCTTCCTTACGGGCAAGGTCTCTGCATGGTTTTTGGGGTTCAACTGTTGGTGACAGATTTCGCCAATGCCAATGTTATGCATTGCAAGAAATGGTAGTACTGAAATGTTATTACATTACACTTTATAGAGAAACCACGACTGGTGGGTGGCACATCATCCCGTCTGTGGCACAACTATGGTGTGGCTTTATTACCATCATCCCATCAAGTAGGTGGGGTCGATACCGTAGCCTAAACTGGTCTCCAAGGGAGTTTCTAACAATGGGTGAAAGTGGAGGGCACTCTTCCAACTTTTGGGTATGCTGTACGTACCACACAAAACCCATCGGTTGGTGGGTGGTTGTGGATTCTCAGTGGATTTGAGATTTTGATGTTTAATGGTGACGACTTCATAGTCATCACCTCTTTCCTTCCTCTTTCTCTCAGAGAGTACTACTCGTTCTAGTGGCATCATTTCCTTCCTTTCAACAAAATGTCCAGACGGGGAACTAAACGACTCTGTTTCTCCCTCCTCTCCAAGGATGGAGAGCAGTTTTCTCTGGATATGGGGAAAAGTGGGAGAGGAGAGAAAGCATGATGATGTGGTGACAGTAAAGGAGCAACGGTGTCTCAAACTGTAAATTATTCAGCCTGTTTAATGAACCTTGCTATCCAAGTCCTTACCTCGCCTTAAGACCAGAAGAAGAAGTGTTATAGAGAAGAAGGCGACGACGATGACGACGACGAGGTCATTACGGTCTTCGCTGATGTACTCTTGGTTCCATATTAAATGTAGTGTTGAAACATAAAGTGTTTATAAAAGAGTGAGGATCAGTCCTACTAAAGTCGACACCTTGTCTTCATTCGCCGACCACTTTATCTCTGTGAATATTAGCATTTTTCTCGTCGTGGTGGGAGTGGAATGGGGGCAAATGGAGTACAAAAAAATAGCTGACGATGACTAAAATTCGGCATGATTTGGTTGGAGATATGTACATATAATAATCCTCCTACTCCGTGATGATTATGCTGGCTGCCTGGCTGGCTGACTGACTGTGGTCTGTCTGGCCTCGCTCCATTTACTTACCTAACCGAAATCAAAAAGCCTTTCTCCACGGAATCTATCTGATGTGAAGAGCGTACATATAAGCATTAAATAGCTCAGGTCGGGAATGGATGGTTTGGCTGCTTTCGTGGTGAACTGTGGTTGGTGAAACTACATTTGTCATCCATTAATTAACCGCAATCGTAGCGTTTGAATCACTCGAGGGAATCGAAAATATAGAGACGGCTTTGGTGTGATGTGCTATCTTGATTTACTCACTTGTGTGTCCTCATCAATTCGATTCTACCTTTGTTCATGGTCTCTCTAGCAAAGAGTACGCCAGCCAAAAAGTGCACACCACACATTCGTGTTTTCTGTTGGGTGGGTGGACATTCACAAATCCTTTACATAACATGAAAACAAAATAGAACAATAAATTGGGTTCTGCTAGTACGTGACCTCAGTCCGCTCGTGGAGCATGTGGCGTGTCCAATTTAAACAATATGTGTAATTTTCTTGCAAGTCCTCCAACTATGCGTACATAGAGCCTGACACGGTCTCTACTACTATTTACGTTTAAGGAGAAAACCCCTTTCAACCCTTTGCTATTCCTTGAACCAATAACATCAAAATTCAGATATGCGAATCTCTACATCTAATACTTTCTCCATTTTTTGTTCCCCGTAATCCAGCACCGTCTGCCAAATAATGACCACCCAATGTTCATGGCAGCAGTAAAGTCATCATCCACGTCCCAGTTACCATTTGCATTTCCCATTCGCATTCAATCCAAACCATTCAATCCGGCACAATCCAAGAAGAGAACTGATTAGTGGCTGGAAACCAAGAAACTTTTCTAATCTGAAATCTAAAATCCTCCACAATCCAACCAAAGCCTGTCATTATCTCTTTCTGTCCCTGCCTCCGTTTCTTCGACAAGCCAGCCGTCACGACACCAAGACCAATGCCACTATTTGTATATGGTGGATGCTCTTTATTCGGTTTGCTGCTTTCTTTACCATACCGGGTGGGATGAGATCCTTGATTTTCCCATGAGTTGTCTCCTCCACCCAGGCATTAATGGTCCCTGCTGAGGCGACATTTTGGGCGAAATCTAGTTGTTCCACCTCCGCCAAGAAATTGTCCTTAACTGCCTTGGAATAGTCGGCCTTTATCCGGAAGCCCACATTGGTATAGAGTCGATTCGCCGAGGAGAGCGTGTATCCCTCGTTAGTTGTCTGGAATGCAGAAAGAAATCGGAAATTGAGATAAAATACTGGAATGAGATCTCGCCCCAAATCTAAACCTTCAAATGAGTTTCCTTCTATTGTGGTGGTGGTAAATTACATTACAAAGTGTTCCTCGCTCGCATAGACGACGGTGCGTCATGGCTCGTTAAATGTGGGAATTTGTTTGTGTGGATAATAAAAAGCAAAAATGTTAACCCGAAAACGCCAAACAAACAACAATAATTTAAATCATTCTTCTTCCTCTTCCTGATTCTACATCCAACTTTCACTCCCTACGGTTGTGGTGGATGCGGATGAAATGTTATGCCACACATGCATTGTACATGGGTACATTTGCGGGTGGGTGGTTTGGACTTATAAATTTAAAGCATTCGTACACGACAAGTACCCACATAGCCTGTGGACATTATTAAAACTTATTGTGTGCTGCAGCACCAAGTCCCTGTCCTCCTCCCTCCCTCCCTCCCTCCCACACATGCCACGCTACACAAATCCTCATCAGAAGCAGCACGTTCATTATTATGAATCCCAGTAGAGATGAGTGCTTCCACTTAACCAGATGATGATAATCCTCATTCCCGTGACTTTGTAGTGGAGGACACACAATCAGACCAATTTTGGTCGTAAAATCTCACCAACCGGAGCCAAAACAATGAAAGCAAAACAACAAGACATCACTGGAATCACAATGCGATGCAATGTGTACGACGACTAAGCTTTATTGTTATCAACGAGCCACTAGAATACTACTTTTTACCCCGTCGACCCACCACCCGAGGAACAAATTGTCACAAACCAATTTAGCTAGTGACATCTCGAAAATGAATATAAACTGCGAATTTTGCATAATCCTAATTGGGACCTGGAAATGGACTTAGCTTATCACATCAGCCACAGTTCTCTCAAACTGCCACTAACCGACCGACATGCATAACGGGAGAAAGTCCCTACTATGTCCTAACATATAGGAGAAAGTAGATGGGCCTCAGCCAATTCTTCCCTCTATCCATGCATACATGAAAACGAGACACTAACAACTAATTCCAATCACATCACACTCAATTTCATCATGGTATTGTAATCCCCTAATTTTATTTTATACTATGCAAACTACCACAGATTTGGCATCCTGTTTGAAATGATCATCAGAAAGCTAAACAATATGCCGTTTTGTGGATTGGATACTGTACGCGATTGCTTTTTGTGCTTGGAAAATGGGAAACGAGTCAACCCTGCCTACCAACCATTATTGTCTCTTGAGCATTTTATACATGAAGTGAATCTGTTCTTCTTCTTCTACGTTCTTGTCTGTCTCTGTTGTTATCTTAATGTTATCCTTTCCCGCTGCCTGGAATAACCTCAACTCAACCTAATAAATATTAAAAGAGATTGCGACTTAGTAAACACTGCCAAATTGTTACGAGACTTGACTTGTTAGGCCACACGGCTCCGCAACAAGCCAGCCATTTTTATCCAGCAGAGCGACTTTCTCTCCCCTTGGCTGCGTGCATGGCACTTTTCCTCCATAGTGCTCGGATAATGTAGCAACATCAAAAGTTGTGAAAATTTGTCCTGCTCACACACACCAACTTTCCACATATGTGTCGCACTGCTCTTGTTTCTCTTGAATTATTGGCAATGTTCATCATGCTGTGCGTTGGAGAAAGCAAGCAGCATCCAGGAACCAGCAGATGTCTAACTCTATAATCCTCTCTCTCTAAAAACCTGCCTGGTTATTATGGTGCATGTACATTTGTAGCAAATATAAGTAGACTACTCAAGATTAAAATGGTTGACAGCGTGGAATAAAGCAAGTGGAATTAGGAGAGAATATGAGCGAAAGAGCCGAAAAAGAATTAGAATGTATATTTCAAGATAAGTAAGTTGGATAAGTGCACGGAGCGGCCACATCCATCCGTAAAACTCCTTCGAGACAATGCTGCATGGAATTGTTGTATAAAACGCATAGAGATTTTTCATTTCATCATTGACTTCACTCCAATGAACTCAACTCGCTGTTAAATGAACCAAGTTGTTGAAGCAGCAAATAGTAAACTTTCTCTCCCGTATTACATTTCTTTTTCCTGTTATTTACCCTCCTGTCCCACCAACTTTATTTACTGCATTACACTTTAACTCAATCAATGAGGAGGAAAATTCACTTTACCTGAAAGGATGCCAAAACCGAGGTATATCCTTTTCCCAGAGTTATCATGTCCGTCGGGTAGTGAAACACGGTGGCGATTTCGGACGCAGTTTCTCCCCTCGCTCCGACTTGAACCATTGCCACAACCGCACTCAAGCTGAATGGAGAGTAGATCAAGTTGGACGGAAATTGTTCTTTGAGTCCCTGAAAGAGAAAAAAATTGCATAATAATTTTACAATGGGGAAATTATTCAATTTCTGGAATTATATTTTTATTAGTCAAAAATTACATACATTAAACAAGTCAAGTGAAAAGGTGGTGTTCGCCGCCGAGACAGCCTTGACTTCTGGGACTTCGCTAAGAGAATGGGAGGAGGCGGAGGAGGTCGTGGTGTTGGATGCAGCAGCCATTGTTCCACGATTTTTTGACGCTTGACTTTTTTTCCGATCAATTTCTGGACAGGTTCCAACCAGACTCTCTCAAACTGCTGCTGCTTCTGGTTCTAACTGCAAAGAACAAAATCAGAAAGTTGGTTAGACAGGATAGAAAACGTTGTATTAGGTTTTAGTAGCAAAGCAGGAGGCATTTAATAAGACTCGCTTTTTGGCTGGAGAAATCTCTGGAGAAATTGTGTATTATATTATTATGGGGCTGGATGATAGGAGACGAGAAGAAGAAGAACAAGGACAATCTCTTGCGACGACGAAGACGAAGACATGAACCAACGACACGCTGATAATTTAACCGGGGAGAAGGGCACCGGAGACAAGGAGAAGATCAGAGAAAGTAGATCAGGCTTTCACTCCGTATATAAGAGCACTATTTTCTATATATAGGTACGTACTACGTATGTCGTTGGTTAGCGGTGGTGGTGGTGGTGGATCACTTACTCTCTCTTCTTCTTCAATTCAATTTAATCTTGAGATGCGACAATGAATTTAATTTCAGACACGTGAACGACATTAACAATATGCTTTTCCTTTAGAGAGGGGTGGTTGGCAGGAGGACAAAAGCGCTACAGAATAAAATCCCCTCCCTAAGCTGACGAGTTTATGGGTTGGCTTTGTGAAACAAGTTGAGGACGAGGAGGACATTATACATATTTTAGCACATTTTTAGAAATCCATGAAAACAAAATGTTATGTTGTGTACGTCGTAAAAATTACGTCTCATGAATTTTGTTATGCATAACCACAACCACGTTATGAGCGTGTAGCGAATTCCCTGTTGAGCACTGTATAAACCTCTCTCATTTTCATAATTGCTGCTATTTACTCAACTGCTGGGAAAAATATAATGCAGCCTCATTTATTTAAGCAGTTCCAGGTAGGAATTGGGCATGATTTGTCTAATAAAGCTACTTGGACAGGCTAAAGCTTTTAACCTTACTTACGTACACGCGCGGGGGGTGACCTAATTTTTGGTGTATTTATCAATTTCGGATTTTAAATTCTAGACCATTCAGAGTGGTAAACCAAGTATGATTAACTGAATACAACTAACGACATAGCTGACCTGCCTCTAATATCATTTCCAAGAAACAAGTCTCAAGACTTGTGGTTGCAATGTTTCAGAGCTCGATGAATTATGAGCAGATCAAACTAATAAATTAAAAGAATCTTCTGATTTTGAGTTATCATGAAACAAAGAGCAAAATCTGCTTAACGTACTGATAAGTAATATTTATCAGCGCACAAGAGATGCTATTTGACGGTTACCTTGTCCAACCAATCACAATTTTACATTTTTACAAAATACTCAACAAAGTGAACAAGTTTAAAACTTCGTAAATGACTCAAGTTTTATGAATTACTTACTTTCTTCCTCGAACAGTACTACTTATTAGTCCCGTACGTTTGGAATTCCAACTTTTTGACAGCTCACCACCACTTTCTTAAACCATTTGCCGGCCCATTGTATGTATTGCAAGAGTAAAAAATATACATGACTTCAGTTTAAATTATATAACCACCTCGCGGTTACACTCTCTTTTACCAAATTGGATTTCGCTTAACAAAGAAAGGGTGCAACATAACATTCACAACACCCACAAGAACGAGTGTCAGTGACGCATTTGCATTTCGTTAGTCGATACTTTGCATGGTATGCATATACAGATTAACCATTGTAATTGTACAGTAACTGCAGTATGGCAAGCCCACGATAAAAACGTGTAGGTTGAGCTGAGCACAATATGAATACAAAAAAATCCTTCACGCAAAACTTGAAACTCAAAGGTATTGATTCCTCCGTCTATTTTGCATTATGATTTTTTAACCCGTTTCCTCCTGTCACGACTCGACTTTGCATTTTTCTTTTGCAAAAAACTTTCCATAAAATATTCTCACAACATTTGGAACAACATTTTTTTGTCTGGCTGACAAGATTTATTTTATGGCAAGTATGAAAAAAGCAGTCACTGTCGTCGTCATCTTATCTCTTTCTCTCTGTTTTTCTATGACGAATAATAAACGAGGACGAGTCTGTCTGTCAATGAGCAGGATTAACATTACATATTTCCTCATAAAATTGCCCCTGTCGTGTCGTAAATATATAGCTTTTAGCTTACGGCGAATATAAAAACTAATAAAATCGGATTGTGACTCGGTAGGATTTCATGCAAATTTCAATCTTCACTCGGATTTTGTCAAAAGTTTTATTGTTTTCTTAAGGATTAGATTTTGAGAAGGGAAATCATGACTTGAGATTACAGGTCTTCTCTTCTCTCAATAATATCATCCCGTTGTTGTAAACTATAATAAAAATGAGAGCAGCCTGGCGTGCACGCCTGCAGTGTTGTGTTTCCACGTATGTGAAATTTTAATAATAAAATTTCTAAAAGCAGGATTTTTAGCAAGTTTTAGTACTACGTGGTTTTCAAAAAAATGGGATAGAAGAAGAAGAAAGTGAAAGAACCTTTTGCTCAGCTTTCTCTGCTGCTTCGGGGTGTTCAGTGAGTGGTGAACAGAGGAAGATAGATTGTGATCATCATCATCATCCAACGGCACAAAAGACGACGGACTTGTTCTTTTTGAGATATAATCTTTCCCGTCTCATTTTTTCGTCACCTCTTCCTCTTCAGAGTTGAATGCCGAATTCTGAGTGCTGCTATGAAGAAGTAGAGTGTTTCGCCTCATCTCTTCTTTGTATGTGTCGTAATGAAATTCATGTTGCTTGCGAGAGAGAAAGTAAGGCACTTACTGCTCCGAAAGGGTTCCCACATATCCCATAAAAATTAGTGGAGGTAGCACTTGCAGCTTTTCACCAGTTAATCCCAAAGCCGCGATAAGATCCCTCTCCTCTCAGATGAAGGCCACATCACTCAGCCCGTAAAAGAGGCCAGTAATCTTGTTCATGTCCGAAATAATTCCAGTGCTCTGGGCTAATTTGTCCGAAGGGATAAAATGCGAAGACATCAGTCTTTTCCCCACTTTATGGTCATGTCCCGTTGCGACGACGTTTTCAATGGATGGCGATGATAAGGCTTCCTTTGAAGGAAGTTATAATTACCGCGATTCAATTTATTAATTTGTCCATGAATAGAGCAGTCTGTAGTCTGATGAATGGGAAAGTGTATGATTCTTGTCACCTTTATCGTCACATAAATCGCATCTTATACAAAGGTCTGGCTATGCTTTCTCTTCTCGGAGGGGGAAAAGTATGCCATGCAATCAATCCCGTAGACGACTTGCTTCACTACTCTCGACAATAAGATTAATGAAGATGGGTGACACTTGGATAGCATAAAGCCCAAAGGTTTATTGGATTTCGGGATTCTTGCGATAAAAAATGGCAAGGAAAACGTTTTTATAAATAAATCCCATCTGTCTCTCTATTTCTTCTTGGGCTCGATGTAACAAATAAAATAAATATGTGGTGGCTTCCCTCTCCTTCCAACTCGTCCGCTGGTCTGGTCTGGTGGTGGTGAGAGTAGAAGAACAACTAAGGACTCCGAAATGAAACTTTCTTCTCCCCGAGTTTTCTTCACAGATCAAAGCGTATAAAGGGATGGCATTTACGAGTACGTCCTTCTCGTTTGTTTGGAGAATCTTGAACTGAAAATGTCTCTACTCACTTGGGCAGATTACAAAGGGAGCGAGAGGAAAAGTGTTTCTTTCAATTTTCTTCATGTTCCTTCTTCCTATAATTGTACACAATTTAGTGAAGGGGGAAAAGTCAAGTTGAGAATATTGCTTGTTTTCACGGTGAGATAAATCAGTTATGAGTTTGAGAAACAATTTATTAGGTCCACTACACCTCCTTACGACTCGCCCTCGTCCCCTCTCTGACCAGAAGGTCTACACCCAGGCAGGTAAGTAGGTAAGTAACAGAAACCCCCGGAGTGACACAAACTTTGTGTAGTTTTGTGTAGAGAAATTCAGTGAAGAGAGAGTAGTTTTGGGTGAGTGTATCTCTTCTAATTCCCCGCTGTGCACTGACACCGTCTGTCTCCAAGCTCAGACTCCACATCCAATCCACCACGTCCACCAGAACAGAACGCCCGGATTCAAGTGGAGAAAGCTGGGAGAAAGTGGGAAACTGAGAGAAAAGGGAACTCTCCTACTTGACGATGGAATGTACAATTCGTAGCTGGGCACGAGCATGCCGTCGCGTTTTTCTTCTTCAACGTTGGTTGACTGTTTCTTGTGCTTCCGCCTCGTTTCTTTCTTCTTGTGGACCAAGTATGTTGGAGAGAATCGAGTCGGTGGTGGTGGTGCGATGGCAGCTTGATTTTGAGGTAACAGAGAAGAGAATGAATACCGTAAGTCCAAAATTTTGAGATGTGCTGCTTTCCTCCCCGGGGATAAATTCGGCACGATTTTTTAAAGGGATCTCTCCAGTTTAAATTGTTATCAACACGGAGAAATATGATTTCTTCTTTGTGCACTGAGGTTGTAATAGGTTTGAATTAATTTGAGGAGAAAAGAAAAAGAAAGCGATTCTAGTAAAGTAAATTTATTTCGAGTAGGAGGCGGATATTTTTATGTGGAGATTCGCTGCTTTCTTTTGGTGAACTGCTGGTTATCTTTCCACGGTGGACGGCGAGGGCGACGTGGCGGTGGTGGTTTATTTTTCTTGTTTTTTTCTCCTCTTTCAGCCACCGCAGTAACACCGCTGAGCTCCCACACGAAGCTACTGCCACTGCTCTTTCTCTGCTTGGCTGCAAATCGACATCCTCGAATGGGAAGGAAATGCTCAAAAATTATGTGGCTTCTGTAAAAAGTTGACACCTTTCACTTTTCAAAGGAAATGGAAGACAGGAATTTGTGGGATTGGGTTCATGGATCGTTATACCACTACTTAGCAGCAGAGGAGGAAGAAAAAAAGCGAGCCGCCTGAGAAAATTTTGTCTTTATAAAAAACTCTCGTCGGTCGGTGGGTTTAGCGAGCAGTGCGAAATTGCTATCATGCAAACTAAATGTTTCTTGTATATTTGGCAGGTTGCGGAATATTCTTGCAGTTTTTTTCCTCTTTCCTAGTCCAAGCTCTCTGATATAGCAGTTTCCTGTGAAATTTGCCTCTGGTTCGAATAGACCCATAAAAATATCCATTAAATGTCATTCTATTTTCTGTATAGATACAGCCGCCGCACAAGAGAAATTTGGCGGCCGTGGTGGTGATACAGTTTGTTATTAGAGTTCGGCTCCTCTCTCACACCAACCAAGTGAAAGTAGCGACCCAGGCAAAGTCGTACATAAGTAGGAGTAGCTCAGTCCAGTCACACAACGTTGATTCACTAATGCATTCAGCAATTACAGTGGGAAGAATCCAACCTAGCCAGCCAGCCACCACGTACAACTAAAGTTCTCTCTCTCCATCCCATAATGGCATCGGAAGAAGAAAGTCTGCTCTTTCTTTTCAGTCAACCAGAATCAAATCCATTCCATTATTGTAGCCAGTCAGTAGTGAGTAGAGAAGAAGTCGTGGCGGTGGTGGTGAGTGGCTTGCGTGTTAAAACTAAGACCAGACAGAATTTATAAACCTTCCTCCCAGTCGCAGGAAGTGCAAGGTCTAAAGCTAAACAACAAAAGGGTAAGCAGCAGCAGCATCATCGGTATTATTAGTTAGGGAACAGGCTATCCTCATGTAGGTACATCCATATTATTATGCGGCATTTGCTGAGTGCAAATTTTACACAAAATAATATCCACACGTTTACTACTACCCTCGCGGAGTAACTGATAAGTAAGGAGGAAAATAAGGATAACTTCTTGCCCAGATTTTTCTCCTCATTTACTTTCCACCAAGGTGAAATAAATACATAAGGCATGCTGATGGGCTTTATTGTATTATACAACAAAAGAGTATATGGAGTAGAGATCCGTTTTCTACTCGGTCGGTGATGGTTGGCGAGTGAGGCGGTGTGGCAATAAACTGCGAGGAGGGAAGTCTGCTGGCTTTGCTCATGTTTTGCTTTCTCTCTTTCTCTGGAGGAGGTGGAGGGCAGATTCGTATTCGTATTTGCACGGATAGCTGTGGATTTTGGATTTACCTCAACAGCCAACAGCCACTAAGCCTTCACTCACCATCTACTAAATCCAATATTGTAATACTGTAATAGTCGTCTCATAAAATTTGGCATGGGCTTAACCCTTCTTTCTTCTCTGGCAAATAAGGCAGCACAGAGAACAGATGAGACTTGTGTAGTAGTAAAATCCTACAAAGGTTGATGAATGCGGTCGAGATACAGAACCAGGACTTGGACAAAGGTATGGAGATGAGGTGGATTTAGACGGCCAAGAACATTTAGTCCTTCCTGCCCGAGATGATTTGATGTTGATCTTTATGCGAATGAAGAAGAAGAAGAAGATGAATAGACCAACTTATTTAACCTCCTCCTCCATCAAACAGGAGCCTTAATGATGTTGGCACTTTTTCCAGGAAGAGAGATTTATGTGCCCGTATACATCCACGGGGCGACCTTGTTCTCTACGTAAAATGACCAAATCTTCTATCAATCTCATAATCCAAATTGAAGGCATTATACATCATGCCTGCTTTATATTATATTATGGTGAGTGAGTAGAGATGATGGTGAGTGAATAACAATTTTTTTTCTCTCTAAGAGATCAAGCACACACGGAAAACAGGGATGAAATTCCTCTTTATTTATTCGGAGTGAAAGGCCTTTATTTATCCTCGTCGCTTTCACATGCATGTATTCATGTAGTCGTGAAATTTAAATCCATAATACCTCATAGTACAGGGAGCGAGGCCATGTTTTTCATACCAAGGTCCACAAGCATAAAGTATGCTTGGTGGGATTTTTTTACCACTTTCTCCATAAATTGGGAGACTGAAACCTTCGAAAACTAGAGAGAAAGTCAGAGAGTTGTGAGAAGAAGAATGTCCTGTCTTAATGTATCTGTATATAAATACGGACGAAAATCTAGCCCTGTTTTACGTAAAAAAAGTGCATAATAAAAAAATATATTTCTTCTAGCTACGTTTAGCCAAGATTGCGTAACCATTAAGACTTGGAAGAATGCTAACTTTTTGTGCATATAATCAAAACTCTTAACGACTTTTTAACAAGACGTACGTCTCTCCCAGGAAAACTGTATAAATTCGGATAAATGACATTTTTTTTCGCCGTGAATCTATTGGCATCATGCAGTATCATCATTACCATTCGTCTTTTCTGTTTGCTCTTGTTACGTTACTTTCTCCGCTCTTTTTCACCAATATTTTTCTAGCAGCATATTCACGCCCAGACCTCATTTAATATTCTGCCGAGACTCGCCACCCACATCCAAATGTGTCTCACTGAACTCGCTACGGGTGCAGTTATGTTTTATGCTGGAGCCGTAATTTGTCACCCTGCTGTACACACAGTGTTTCATAACTCGTGCTAAGTGAAACTTTATTTGAGAGAAAAGTGCCATGTAGAGAGCCCTGCTTTTCCTTTTTATGGAGTTAAGTACGCGAACAATCATCCAGTCAGTTGTCGTGTTTGGTACGATTTCTTGACTCCATTCTCGTAATGCATTCTCATAACAAGGAATGTTGTTACTTACGTGGAGCTACTTACTTACTTAGTTTCCTTGTAGTCTTGTTTATTTGATTAAGTTTGGCTTAAATGGGTTAAGCAATTAGTGTTGAAATTGTTGTATCATAGCTTTATTACGCTCATTTCGGCTGGAACTTGTAACTATGAAGGAGCAGAGGAACGATTCACTTAATGGGATTTGGAGAAGACGCGTCGCGA